AGCGACATGCTAAAAAAATTTTCTCTTTATATTTGGTCGAATTATATTGGGTCTCCTTTAGGTAGCTGATAACATTTTTTTGGTGTTGTCTGGCAGGTTAGGGCCTAGTGTTTGGGTTTTTAATCCGTAGTCACTTCTTAGGTTTAGATATTTTCTGCATTCATGTAACAGGTGTTTGGTGGTGATTTGTTGGTTGCAAGAATTTCTGTTGCAGAAAGGTGGCTCTGTTTTGGCTAGGATTTATTCATGTCTGATCTTGGAGTGTCCGATTCGAAGTCTAGTCATAGCTTTGTCCTTTCTTTTCTGCTTATATCATAATGTGGTATTTTTTGGTAGAAGTGATGCGCCATGTCGTGTATTTTGGTTCTGTTTGTCGTAGTCCAAATTCTGTTCCATTCTTCTCTTTCAGATTCAGATCGTTGAAGATAGCAGGTGTTGGTGTGGAATTGGGATGTTGGTTTCGTTTGTTCGATCTGTTGGCTAAGTTTGTCGGCTTTCTCGTTTCCTTCTATTCCTTGGTCTTAATCTTCGATAGTTTTGTTTCGCTATGAGAAACACGTAGCTGGCGAAAAATGTAAATATCGAAAAGTTGCATTCAGTTATATTTTATTGTATTTATTGTATGTGTTGTAATTAAATATATATTATGTTTATTGTGTATTTGCATGCAGTTACTACATTTATGTTAATAACCTGAAATAATGTTCCATATCTGAGAGATTTTATATATATATATATATATATACACGTATGACAATGCATATGCAATCTTTCTCACCCATTAGATGGAAATAATAAAGCTCGTTTCACAATGCTAGTCGACTCTCTTATTTTATTTTCTACGCTATAAATCTTGGCATTAACGTTGCGATTGTCGGTCAATCGTCTCGTTGATGAAAATCGTTTCGAATTGTTTCGCCACGAGCGTTAGCAATGAAATTCGGTGGTCAACGAGGTTTCGCGGAGAGTCTTGACAAAATTGCAGACCGGAGCAACAGCTGAAGATAAATGCGAGCTTAATCGGAAAAATAAATCACTATTGGAATGACGATATCCACTTGTGGGAAATGGCAATTAACCGCCCCTCCTGTTGTAGAACACGGTAATCAATGGCAGAGAGACAATTTATCTGAATACTAATGTATAAACTGAAATTCCGATATTTTCTATTCAGAAAGGTTCAGAAGTAAATAATCAATATCTGTTTCGCGCTGTCCGTTTTTCTCTCTCTTTTGTATTTCTTTTTTTTTCTTCTTGTTACGAGAAATTAGTCATTCAGGATGGTACAGTCGAGTCGGAAAAAGGAAGAACAAAATTTTTTTTCATAGAAGCCTTTGTTTTCAAGAAAATCGAGTTTGAAAATTTGTCAAGTACGCTTGAACTTGCGCGAGAATATTCCACGTGCAAGCTTCAGTTTTCAGAAAAATAGATTTTTGAATTGTGTTTCGTCAAAAATTGCACTTGGCGCACGTGTACTTGATGAAATCTTCAAACTCGATCCCCGAGAGTCGAGAACGAAGCAAATCTTACAAAAAAAATTTTATATTTTTTACTTATTTTTGTTAATTTTTTTTTATTACTTATTTTTATTATATTTTTTACTTATTTTTGTTACTCTTTTTTATTACTTATTTTTATTATACTTTTTACTTATTTTTGTTACTTTTTTTTTATTATTTATTTTTATTATACTTTTTACTTATTTTTGTTACTTTCTTTTTATTACTCATTTTTATTATATTTTTTACTTATTTCTGAATATACTTCTAATTATTTTTTATTACTTATTTTTATTATATTTTTTACTTATTTCCGTACGTAGCGAAATTTAAATGTATTTTATAAAATTAATGTTCTATCGATTCGATGATAAAACACGTGCTTTTTGAATAACTTAATCATTGATTAATAAAGAAAAATGTCCCCCTCCCCTTCTCGGTTGGAAGATGGAAAGTGCTCGTGATAAATTGTCAGGTGACTTTGCACGGAGGTTTGTTAAAGTGCTCAGCACCGTGGAAAATTTTAGACTTCCGGCAGAACCTTGAAAACGGGTCAAAAAGTTACGTCGTAATATTGAATTACAGGAAAGTAGCGATTGCGCTAAATATCTCGAAGCTTTTCTTTTTTTTCTTTTTCTTTTTCTTTTTTTCTCTTTTTCTTTTTCTTTCTCTTTTTCTTTTTCTTTTTCTTTTTCTTTTTCTTTTTCTTTTTCTTTTTCTTTTTCTTTTTCTTTTTCTTCCTTTTCCTTTCCTGTTCTACTGCGGTAGAATCTTGATTACTAGTGCAAGACGAGGAAATAAGTTACTCCGATGATTGCACTTGTCTGTCGAACGGATAACAAATGTGTGACACTGTTCTCGTGTGTATCATTAAGCATAGTAATGATTTTAATAATATAATAATAATGTATATTAAAATCATTAATATTAATAATATTTTTAATATTATAATAATATTAAATTATATCACGATTTAATAATAATAATAATATTCATAATAATATTCACAATAATATTCTAATAATAATATAATAATATAATTATAGTAATAATTTTAATTTTTTTTTTATCGAATTTCAGTTCACGCGTGGCAATAATTGGAAATCGAAATTTGCAGTTAATCACCGACAGGTGATGCTTTTACTTTTTGATTTTCGTTGTCGAACTTAAAAAAAAAAAAAAAAAAAAAAAAAAAAAAAAAAAAGAAAAATGCTTCGATCACGCATAGAAAGTGTACGCACATCGATGAAAAATTGTCTATGCTTTAAACTGTTATAACTTCATAGAAAGAAGTCGTATGACAATCCAGTTGGCCTCATTTTAAAGCGTGAAGCCGCCTCCACTTTGACACTCTTCTACGTCAGTTTTCTTCAAAGATGTTTCTCGCATCACGCAACTACAACAGAAGCGCACGTTTACTTTCGTTCTCGAAGATTGCCGAAATTCAGATGACTCTGGGAACGTTAAAAAATTTTTCTCGCAACTAAATCTACCACGATCTCGAAGATTGAACTGCCGTACGATCTTCATCAGCGTCAAATTCCAGGATTTCTTGAATTTTGAATTCGTTCGAGGTTCGATAAAATAAAATGGCAAAAGAAAAAAAAAAAAAAATTGTACAAGTTTCGAGAGATTGGCGTAAAAAAGGAGCCTCGATCTTCAAGACGATGATAAATTTCGTTGCGAGAAAAATTTTTCAAATGATACTGGTGGCGTTTGTATTGTTCACGATTATTAATAACGAAAGTATTCTTGCTGCATGATGTGAAAATGTCTTTGGTAAAAGAAAGAGAACTCTCGCGGTTGATAAAGTAGAGGTTTCGCTTGTACAACAATCAGTTCAACCATCAGTTTGAAATATCGATATTTTTTCATCGAGTATGCGTGTACTTCCATTCGCCCCATAGAAATATTAATTTACGTTTAGTTTCATTCAAATTCAGATGTCTCCACTGATTGCTCGACTTGTCAACGCCCGTTGACACATAATTCTAGAAATAGTCCTGAAACAAGCAGCTAAAAAACACGCGTTTCAGTTTTATCGTGTGATAGACCAGTTATTCCCAATCCTCGTTTAGACACATCGGACGATTACTGTGATTCTGCCCGTAATTATATCGCGGAAGAGCACAACGTTTAATTAATTCTCGTCTCGTAATAAATTGAATATGCAAATCATATACCAAGTGCCCATTAGAACGTCAAAAAAAAAAAAAAAAAAAAAAAATTGGACAAAGTTAGTTTCAGCCATTTTCTATCTTATAACTATCGTTAGACACACGCGTGTTTTTTGCCGTCAGCTTTGTTACAAGAGAGTAGTCGCACGATAATGTAAATTAGAAAAAAAAAAAAAAAGAAAAAGAGAAAGAGAAAGATTGCCCGTTTGGGAATGATACACGATCTCACGGAAGGAGTTTTCGGCCGCGATTGATTCGCAATCTGATTGATTCTCTTGGCGGTAAATGTTTCAACGACGTGATTTATCGCCGTTTCGTCATAGATCGTTTCACGCCGGATCATTTCCCGAGCACAAAAGTTCGGGATAACAGCGTCCCATTAGCGGCCGTGAAAAGATTAACGAGCCCCGGTGGCTGCACGGCGAGGAGGCAGCCTGCAAGGATCGCACCGAGATTGATGCAGACGTTTTAGCCGGGCATCGCCGTCGATTGAAGTTCAGAATGAAAGTTCAACAGATTTCGCGAAAATAATAGGCCCTGATGGATGACGAGGCGCGCGAGTTATGCACGGAGTATGATGCGAACACCGAAGAATAGAGTAACAGAAATAAATGAACCGAGCGGGAAACGCTTTCTTATCTTTGGATCCGTGGATTTTTTTTTTTTTTTTTTTTAATAGATTGGCATTCATTTATACGACTCGTAATCTCTCGCGGATAGTTGAAAGAAATTGGCGAGGAAAATTACGAAACTCTGGGTCGCTTGTTATTTTTTTTTTTTTTTTATTTAAAGTTGGCATATTTTTCGTCGCAGTTAAAAAATCGAGTTTAGAAAGTTAATATCGTTAATATCGTTTACCATGCCTTCTTGTCTTTTTCTCTTTATCGAAGAAACTCATCAACCTTGTAGCAACAGTTGGTTAAATTGCCCTACCGGGGGCCATTATCGATACATTGTTAAAAAAATGACCTGGTAAAATGACTTTACGTGTGGCTTTTACGCTCGGTATTTAATACACCAGGAATTTCATTCCGCCGTGCACAATTTAGATATTAATTTAGATATTGGGTTTTTAACGTTTCGTTCCATAAATCGTATTTTCCAATTAGACGTTTGATAAAAATGTTAGCCGCGTTGAAATGTTATTCGGTCCCTACTTCTACCTCTGGTCAAGTAAATTTCTGAGAAATAACGCGACGTTCGATTCTCAAGTGGAAACTTCTTTTCAATCAGAGTTTAAGTACAGTCGTAATATTTTCACGTGGACGATGTCGATGAAACGTAGAGAGAAAGAGAGAGAAAAAGAAGGTTAATTTAATCCTCCATTTTGGAGAACAGCCGAAACCTAGTAAGAATTACCGAGCGAGACGGCCAGAACGATCCAGTGATCTGTTCAATTTTGATTGTTTACAGTAACAAGTGCCTTAACGAAAAAAGACGACGGAACCAGGAGAACCTGTTTATCGACGAGCTTGCCGAGCTGGTTTCCGCCACGGACATGAGCTCTGGCAAGACTGACAAATGCCAGATCCTTCAGAGAGCCGTCGACCAGGTAAGAAGACAGATCTCCCTACGTTTCTGCCTTTCAAATGGCTGATCGATAAACTCAACAGCGAAGTCCTTCGAGATCCGATCGAGGAACGTCGTTTCTTTTTTTTTTTTCTTTTTTTTTTTTTTTTT